ATGAGGTCTTTTTGGGACAAATTATATACCAAATTGAAGGTCTTGTGTTGTTGTCTTGCCTATAGTAGGCTTGAGGAAGTAGTAAAATAAGGGAAATGTTGCACGTTTTGTTACATATTAAATTACTTTCGTTATATAAATGAGAGAGTCATTCGTAGCTTGACAATAACTTCACTGTCGTTATTGTAGATTAAGGTGCATTGACCTAAGTTTAGCATTATTATTGGACAGATTTCTATAAGGTATGTTAAGGCTATCCCTTCTTTCCTTTTGGCATGACCCATATGATACAACGAAACGAATAAACACGCAGCTCTCACAAATGACTTTGTTATTAGAAGTACTAGGGTTGCCTATGTTTTTGATTCCCCATATGTCCTATTATTATATCGTTTGTTTATGGGTCTCAGAAAATATGTAAGTTGATAAAGTTTATTTCGTGACATTAACCGAAGGCATATTGATTTTGTGACATCCCGAGAGGTCTTATTGACTTACTTCTTATGCATTGCATTCATTTATACATGTATATTGACCTATGCCTAGATGACGTTATATACGCGTATATTATATGTATATGGGGTATGGGGAAAGGTTATGGCATTATATACGCATCACCATCTAATCACTCCCATACGTTGAGGATTTCACCCACTGAGACCGAGATGGTATGATGGGATACCTTCAGAGGCTTGATGATGTTACGTACGCATATACTTATGTATGATATGACATTTATACGCATATGCATGACATTATAAATGTTTCATGATTCACATAACTATTCAGACTTATAGGTTGAGTCATTTACTCCATGTTCTTTCATGTCTTTTATATACTGATTTTTATGCCTCACATATTCGGTACATTATTAGTATTGACGCCCATATTGCATGGGAGCTTGTGTTTCATGGCCGTAGGTGTAGGTAGACAAGCTGACGGTCCCCCTTCTTAGGATCCTTGCTCAGCGAGAGTTTGTATGCTCCATTTGATCCGGAGTTGTTATTGGGTTTTGGTACTATATTTTTGTATACATATATGGGTATGACGGTGTCTAGTACCGTCCTTTATATAGTTGTACATTCTATTAGAGGTCTATAAACAGTCATGTATAGTTGGATAATATGTGGTCTTGTCGGCTTTTATTTTGATATATAGTTGTCCATAGCAGCCTTGTCGGCTCGCCCTACCATATTCCGTATATATAT